GACAAGATGAAACAAAAGGAGAGCCACAGCCTCACAACTTGTGCAATCAACATACCACGGTCCCTGGGAGAGGAAAATGGAACCTTGCATCATAAACTTTAAAATATCATAGAAATGGGTGAGGGGTCAACTAGAAGCTATGCATTTCTGTATCATGTATGTCAGGATTGATACAATCTGGAAACCTTAGTTTACATATAGAAAGTGCCAATCAGGAAAAGGGAATGTGTAGGAAAACTATATAACCCCCAGACAAAGATCCAAAGGTGGCAACCCACTCAGGACCCCTTACACTGCACCGGAGGCTTTCCTCTTTCCTTTCTCTATCTATAATAAAATCTATCCTATCTCTTATGGATAGTCTGTGAATTCATTCTTCGATTCCCAAGACCAAAGACCTCGCAGAGAAATTCACGTAACAACTCCCTCTCTGTGCAATTTTTAAATCCTGCCACACCCCCTTTATACCATCATGCTGTGTCATTATCATCTCCTCTTATCTCTCTCCTTATAGACAAAGAGTCACTGAGATACCTTTGTTACATGCTTTGAATTTTCAGCATCTGGCATAGTCACTGGGACAAGATAGGTACTCAAACATGCTTGAGGAATGATAGTGAAATTAATCAATATTGGGGCATCTAAAGAAAACAGCCAATAACGATGAAAACAGTGTTCACAAGAAAAGAAACAGAGCTGGCACTGTTTAGCTTAAAGAAGATAATGAGCCTTCTTCCAGTCTTCAAATAGTCTGTAATGAAGTCTAAGCAAAAAGATGCTGATCCTGAGTCATTTTTATATATGTAAAAATTCCTCAAATGGTACACTATAAGTGCACATTATGTATGATATCCCTTAATCTGGGAGAACAAGAGAGAGAAGAAGAAAGGAAGGGAGAAAAGAAGAAAGGAAGGAAAGAAGAGAGGGAGGAAGGGAGAGAAGGGGAGAGAGAAAGGAAAAAAGAAAGAAAAACTAAATCACTCTAGGTTACATACAGACTTCTCCAAAGCATTATTAAAAGGTAGAAAATGGTGGTGTGATGGCTACACAATACTGAGGAAAAGAATGACCCTAAAGTGTGACTCTAAATGGTTATATGCTGTCAATTGTCCTTTAACTATAAAGGCAAGACAGCCTTTTTTTTTTTTTCAAGCTGTCACCCTGGGTAGAGTAGGTGCTGTGGCATCATAGCTCACAGCAACCTCCAACTTCAGCTCAGATGTATGTGGCTGGCACCTTAGCCACTTGAGCCACAGGTGCCAAGCCAAGACAGCCATTTTTAAATATGTAAAAATTCAAGAAATATAATATTCATGAATCTTCACTGATATAATTTTGACCACAAAGTCCAGCCAACTAAGAGGTGAGTCAAAATACTTAGAAATTAAGAAGACATGGTAAAAGATGTAGTGAGCACTGAATCCATTGCAATGTAAAATAGAGATTGAATAATTGTGGCGGCTAAGGTAATAGAACAGAATACAAATGTTATTGCAATTTGAAAAATTAAAAAGCAAAAAAAAATGTACAGGTAGGGCTTGGCACCTGTAGCTCAGTGGCAAGGGCTTCAAATTGTCAAAATGTCAGAAACAGAATTCAGAATGTGGATGGCAAATAATATGAATGAGCTTGAAGGGAAAGTTGAAAAACAACACGAAGACATCAAAAAAATATTTCAAGGCATAAATGAAAAAGTTATTTAAGGAAACAGACAATGTAAGAAAGGACATATAACAGGCTTGACACCTATAGCTCAGCAGCTAGGGCACCAGCCACATATACCAGAGCTGTTGGGTTTGAACTCAGCCCAGACCTGCCAAATAACAATGACAACTACAACCAAAAAAAAAAAAAAAGCCAGGCATTGTGGCAGGCACCTGTAGTCCCAGCTACTTGGGAGGCTAAGGCAAGAGAATCACTTAAGCCCAAGCGTTTGA